TTGTCTCCACTCTCCGAAATCGCGCGCTTTAACCCGATTCTCTCATTGCGTCGCCTGGTACGTAGCCGGCCAAACGCCGTCTTCTTTCCATGCCTCGCCTGGCTCTGCCTCCTGGTCCTTCGATGGTCCATAACGTGTAGTTTTTTACGTTTGTTTCTCTTCAGAAACCGAATCTTCATGCGTGAAACTTTGTGTGCTATTTCCAGTGATCACAACTGACATATTCATGTTAGGAAAGAGTGCAAGAATTTTCCGCGCAAGATTCCTTTAACAATTTTCACTTTTACTGGAAGAGATCCTGTTGTTCAACAGCGTTGTTTCAAAAATGTCAAATCAAGTTTTAGCACTATTGGAGAGAAGTCCATGACCATGTTGTGGCTATTTACTATTGTTTCGCTCATCTATGGCTCATGGTTGTTACTAATAAAACTGAGGTTTTCCTGCACAAACACAAGAAAACATAATGCTGCGGAGACGATGAAAGACACAGGAGAAAACTAGCAGTTACCTACACCTTCTTCAAACTTAGCGGGATAGCTTTAAGTAGATGGTTTTCTTCTACCTAGCGAATTTTGTAGGGTAGAACAATTCTGATTGCATACATCGGTCGTTCTTCGGAGACAACGTTCACTTATGATGAGGGAAAACGGTAACTCCCACCAGAGGTATTAGTGAGTTACCAAAATTGTTTCTTCGCAAGCGCAGGACAACTAAGAACTTATGATGACTGACTTTGTTTTGGCTTTGACTTCTATAAATAACTGGATATAGAGGCTCAAACCTTACTCAATGATTTAATAATCCAAAAATGAAGTGAAGTCCTAAGTATTGAGGAAAGTGATGATGGATGCCTGTTTATATTGAAGTGTTGCATACGACTATTCAATGCGAAAACTTTCAAAACTTCGAAAATTTTATGGAATGATTTCCGACTAGGGGAGGTTTCACTCTCGTGAATGCACTTTTTCCAGCACCGTTGGTTTCCGCTCTACTGAGCAACGCGGCAGAAGCTATGAGGAATTAGAGGGCGTCCGCTCGCGTCTATATGACTGATTAAAATATTGAATGCAGAATTGAGCAGCGGAGCATTCAGAGAATGACAGGCTTAACCTTAATTGCTAACTAATCTTAAAGGCTCTCTAGTGTATCGCATCAACTTCCCTCAATCCTTATACTTATGAAACATAGTGAAAGGTTGCATACACAAGTGGTATTGTCATAAATAATGGTTAGGGGCCTCGTAGTTAAGATAAGGATCGCAAATGCTCCACAATGTTTCGCGCCACACGATCGTTGCTAAAATAATACAATGACTCTCATTGGATAATAATATGACAATCAGTCCAATGTATGTATTATTGCGAATCGAGAAAATTCCGATAATAATGCACTTATCCAGAATTTTCTATTTCTATTGTTTCCCCCCCCCATAGACCGTCTTCAGAAACACCGTCTGCGGTTTCGGTTTGACGCAGATGATCCGCGAAATTGTCGCCATTGCTATAATCTTTTTTTCCGAAGGAATCATCCAGATTTAGAATGACTAAAAATCAATCTCTTTAGGGACAAGGGAAAACATACGGCGACACATCTTCACGCGAAGACAAGGCTGTTCGGAGCGCCGCTATCGTCCCTGGTTTGGGTTCTCAGCTTATATTGCCTATCCACCGACAGCTAGGCTCAAAAGGTCCATACAAGCTGCTTGATGTCATATCGGCTTAGAGAAGTCAAATTTTACCGTGATTCTAGCAACGTTTTCAGACTGTCTTTCCAGCAGATTCTTGAAATGCAAGACGGCGGTTTCCAGGAAACATTCATCGGACAAGTTATGGTATTGGCAACTTTATACGAAGTTATACGAAAAAAAAACACCGTAAACCCTATGAACCAGTCAGCTCGGCGATTCATTTTCTGACGACTAGTGGACAGTGGATCTGGGGTGCTTGACAGGGGGCCCGTCGCGCGGCAAGAAGGCAGACGGACGAGTCATCGTACATCACCGGGTACCCTACAGGAGGCAGTCGCGTATCCTTGGTCCTTTTGACGCTGTTCCGCGTTAATACCTTGACACAGAGCCAGCGGACGAGTCGCAGCGCGTACTGTGCTGATTTCACGTCAAGTTGAAGAATGTACCATTGCACACCCTACATCGCACATAATATGCTGCGACTCGTACGTTGACCCACCCTCTTTGCCGCGCGACGGGCCTCCTGTCGGGTACCGTGAGCTGGATCGTTTTCGCCTCATCATCAAGAAGATAACATTAAAGGACTTCTCTGAATTTCTCATTTACTTCATGCCCTTGCGTAACGCACAGTTGATCACGCGCGAGCCATGGGAGAAAACCGAGCCGAACAGACACCTCCTTCATCGCCAAGTCTCATAAAAGCTTCCTTGTGTCGCAGTTTGGGGACACTACTCTTCCCACTGCCCGACATTCAAAACGTTTACCCCAAAATGCATCTTCCGACCTACAATCCTTTTTCTTCGGATTAAGATTTTTTCGGCTACCTCCATGAGACTGCTTCTTGCCTTTGACATTATATACGCTACTCGCATGCATGTGTAAGTCTACAAAATTTGCCAGACGCATATAGGCATTACAATTTCGTTTGAGGAGGTGTTTGTGTAATGGGTGAACCTTTACGATAGGGAGCATATCAGCTTCTATCCTGAAGCTTCACTGCTGGTCTCACTCGTGCGAGTGACTCAGATGGTCCTTATATGGAACATATTTAACAGCAACGGTATGCGTTATAACCTATAATATAGCATTTCCAGCCGGAAATTGAACTAGCAGTGAATGCGGTAAGAGGAAAACTGCAATAATCCTGCTCAGATCTCCTATTAAAACAATAAGCTGAAAGAGATGAAGAAGAATGATCCTAGAATCTCTCTGCTTCGCGCTTTCATAGAATACTCTCTGCTAATATTCTAGCTTCTATCCGACCAACCTCGCAATTCAATGACTATACATCTCTGTTCTTACCATATGTTGCGGGAAGAATAAAACATGATATGTACACCATTGGCCCCACAAGTCAAGGCACAGAGCATACCGTATTCGAATATCCCTACGATTTCACGTGGATGAAGAATGCGCGGCGCATCTCAAAAAGGAAATCAACACTGAAAATTGTATCCTATTATCTTCTAGTGTGAGCTGACTCATTGCGCTTCCCTACCACTTTGGCGCCCCAGATATCTACTATATTACAAGGCTGTTCCGATACTGAATTGTTAGGCGTACGAAAATTCTAGTTTCCATGACTTCCGGTCTATGCTCCGAGATCTCTCGTGCCAGGCATTATCATAGCGCCGTCCGCCTATCGTTCATCGGTAGTGAACACGTGGTATACTCAGCAACTTCTCTGATTGCTCAGAAATTACACTTTTTCTCTCATTCCAAAGTAGCTTCTTTTCCTAACGAGTTAAAGGAATCCTCCACGGAAAAAGCTCCGCCCTCATTACCACAGAAAACGATACCTTAAAGGAATCTTCCACGGAAAGAGTGATCATTTTGTCTTGTGTGTAGGATTAGTATTATCGAAACTAACGCTTATGTTCCGTTCTTTTTGCTATGCTCATGAGGCTAGGGGCCTAAGGGTATCGTTTTTCTGTGGAAGGGGAGGCGAGCTTTTTCCGCGGAAGATTCCTTTAGTCGGTCAAACTTCGATTTGCCACATGTGAATTCAATTGGTTATGATATCGCACTATCCCGGCTGCCATGAAAGCTCAATCCGGCGACGCTGACTCGAGCGTATACGGTGACTCACTTGACTTCATAAAGCCCGAAGGAATATTGAGCAAGGAGCGAGTTGACCAAAATATTTCAATGCATCAAGTTTTTACTGACTAGCGGATCACTGCAACGCGTGCAGTGCGGCAATAAGTAGAAGAGAGATTACAACAGGTCAAATCACTTGAGTAACTTGCTCAACATCGAGAGTCTCACACCAGGTGCGCTGATTTTCCTCCATAATCCTACAAAATTTCTATTTCCGAACAATTACTATACGCAATATAATGCAGGTCCTCCACGCTCAATTCGCGCTGTTGGTGGATTTCAGAGTCCACTATTACTATACACGATGATGGCAGCCACGCTTATGCCAAGTCCCTAGCCGCACTGCCGGGACTGTACGTCACCGTGCTACCGATGACGCGCCGCGCCTGGTGAATTTTTCTCTGACACCGCGCTTGCCCTGCATCAATAAATAACATAAATAAATATCTTCCACAAGACATCAGAGTTTGAATCTTAATTCTTTATTACCGCTGTTGTCCCTGTGCTTCACATATATCAATACGTATACCCAGCCTGATTACTGATTGCTTTGATTCACTCTTCACTACCATTTCTCTCACCCTTGCTGAACACCTCCTGTTACCATTTCCAGTCTCCTCGCACTGTCCTTGTCATCCCTCTCTCGGCTGCCTAGGATAAAACCCCTTCAGGCCTACGTGAAATTTTTGACACTGCACGGGTATCGTCTGACCCCCTACCATTACATCACCGGGTCCAATTATCGCATCATATGCATAAATTAATTAGGCGTCAGCTCTTCGACAAAACCTTTCGAGTCGCCTAATCGCCAAATGCAGAAGTTTACAGCGGAGACACAGCCACTGGCAGCAGCACTAATCGCAAATATAGACCGCTGAGATGTAAATTGCCCCAAGGCCACCGTATTCTGCTCACTTTTGTCGACATTCGTTCTGAAACCGCATCAAGCTCTCCGACGGGGTGATCACAATTACGGGGGAGGGGGATAGAATCAAAGCCATGTTCGAATCATTCGCATCTATTAGATGGATCATGCGCAAAGTCTAAAATTTCTGGTCTCATCCAGTATAGGGGCCATCAAGTGCGAGGTTTTCGAATTACGACCCCGTGGTCTCAGGGGCGATTGAAGGCAGTCTAGGGGGTGGGGGTGAGGGCAGCCACTTGACGTTGCCTCCCAATTCCCCCCCCCCTACAGGAAGACCCATTCCTCGGTTCACAGTCGGAGAGAATCTGCTCCTAAAAAATCTCAAAAATGCTGAGATCTGCAAGCATTATGCACAGCCTACGTACTAGAGGCGAAGATTGCTCATGGTCAATTCCATCCAGAACTGATAGCATCGGTAGAACTGTACTGTCGAGCAGCCACGGCCGGAACATTATAGCACAGCCATTTTCATTTACTGCCCAGTACTTGTAGCTGTAAAGGTAGGGAGCAGAAGCGCAGCTGTGTTCGTGAATGGCTTCGCAGCTTCTTGCTAAACCCTATGAAAAAGTCACGAACCTCAAATCTGAGTGCATATCGCCTTTTTTCCTGAAGAACAGCCTTGTTGGTGAACGTCGAGGTGAACGCAGCAGTCTTCTCACAGAGTCGGCAATTTGATGGCGGAAATTCCTGCAATTACAAACCCTTTACGTCTACCGTAACCCGTTTATAACTCCCATCCAAAAAAAGTTCAGGTTCGGGACTTTCGCGTTTTATGGCAGTGTCATAGCATGAACTTTAGCACTTCATAAGAGGACAAGCGTAAAGTGGGTAAATTGAGGTGTTATCGTATTTGTAATAGTGCATTCGTAGGAGTAACTCGTGAGTTCGCTTGCATTTCTGAGGAATTATTGCCATGCTTGAATAGGTGAGGTGGCAAGGTGCATTGACGGCAGGTTGCTCAGGCATGAATGAAGTTGCTGACATTCGCGTCCACCTCTGTACTGCGACCGACTGAGGAAACTCGAAGGAGGCGCCCATCCGTCTGCTAAGACACATGAAGGGGATTTTTCGCGGCTCGAAGAGGGGCTCTTGAGATGGATGCGCGTTGCCTAATCAGTGTCATTGCAAGGCGCAGCTAGCGCTAATTAGGAGAGCTCAAAGAAGCCTTGGTCAACATTCAAAGAGCATCAGGCTTCTGCTAGCAAAGACGCGATCGCCACAGCAATTCGGACGGGTCCCTCAGGCGAAACATTCAGGGAGGTCTGAAATTCCATAAGGGAACTTCGTCGAGGCGTCGTCAACAAACTCGGCTCATAGCAGCTGACGCACAAGCACGTGCGACCGTCGAGCATTTCAAAATAATTTTTGGACTGCTTGTCCTTAATCCCCTCGAGTGTTTTCAGCCTATCTATTAGAGACTTCCCACTCGGCTGAACGCTACTCGCGTTTCATTTCGTATTCGCAATCGTTGACCACCTCAATGACTTGATACATAGTATATTATTGTGAGGTCTGGACGGGCAACTACGCTGCCGCAATTAGCATAATCACCGCGCTTTCCTCGTACATCGCTGTCCAACGGAGTATTACCGGCTTGCTGGCAGGTGTGGGACAGACAACGGGGGAAAGCTGTCAATGATGGATCGTTTTTTCCCTTTAACTGCTCACAAATTACAGGAAATGGGACAGAGCACAGGTGTTCTCAAGCAGAAAGCTGAAAGTGGGAGATGCCGGAAGTAGTGCTAATTTTTTTCTGGTGTGTTTATTGAATTCCATTGGCGCAGATTGGACAGCTGCCTACCACCCGCTGCGACGCGGACCACTACCGCGCTTCCGGAAGGCTGAATGGAGAGGAAACACTTCACTTCACAATGGCCCCCTCGGCCACAGAGTTCGCCCAAAAGAGCACGCGAAACGCCTCACTAAAGCACTAGAAAAGCATTATCAAAGCAATTTGAGTAATAGCTTTCATAAAGCACTCCATGGAGAAGAAAAAAGCGGAAATTCGAGTGGAAAGTGTTCGTCGGTTGACCTTCATGTGCTGTGGAATATTTCTCTTGAAGGAAAAAAGGTCTTCATGCGAAAGTGGTCTTATGGTATTGCTTTGGAATCCAAACAGTGGTCAGATCAGTGTTCCCTCTTTTCAACCCATTCCAGAGCGAGGTGAAAGATCAGTTATGGAATGGAACCGTACAAAATTTGCTCACAGCATAGTTGCTAAAGTACCTCAAAAAATTCGCGCAAATGCGAACCATTTCTGGCACTGCTTACCGTAAAGGGAGGTTCGCGGACAAAGTTCGGGAGAGGACGATTTCTCGTTCGGTTCCATCTATGTAGAATACAGCCTGTGGTGTAACCCTTCGAGATCCATTTC